AGAACACCCGACAATCAAGTTGTTCTGGCAAGTCATGGAAAGTGTGTCGAACGACGACCGTCAAAAGGTGCTCAAGTTTGTGACATCGACGCCTCGCGCGCCTTTATTGGGATTTAGCCATCTTAACCCGCGCTTCTCCATTCGGGATTCCAGCGAAGATCAAGAACGGCTTCCAAGTACTAGCACGTGTGTCAATCTCTTAAAGCTGCCTCGCTATTCCAGTGCAGAGGTTTTGCGAGAGAAACTCCTCTATGCTGTCAATTCGGGGGCGGGCTTTGACCTGAGCTGATTTAATTTTGATTTTGATATTTTTTTTTTTTTTTTTCATTTTTTCAGTTCTTTTCTTCCCCCCCCACCATTTGTGCATGTTTGCACGACAAGCGATATATACATATCAAATACATGTCGCATAGCGCTTGGCGCTTGTTTTGTTACGCTTTTACGATAGAAATACATGTCCCAACACTGATGATTGAAGCTGCAGAAAATTACAAGAATTCCATGTCCTAGTTAGATTCATAAAACATACTTGTAGTATTTGGAAGCCTTGAGATATTTGCATTAAAACGAGGACCACGGGGAACGACGCCTCTGCACAGACAGACCGGCCAGCAGCGTCTACGTACATTTCTGGAACGAGCCCAGGAAACCCAGCAAATAGCAATAAATCCATTAGTTAATCTGCACATGATTGAAACAGATTGAAACGGCGGTGGCAACAGCGCTCGCTAACCGCCCCGTGGGACCACGTGACACCCTGGAAAAACCAGCCAGGCGCGGTTCCGCTGTTTCCCGATCGGGCTAGTCGCTCACAAAATTTCCCTTTCGTCTTTGCCTTTTTGAAAAGATCTCCAAGCTCTCTTTCACCACCCTCTTGTCAACTCGCTCTGTGCTAAGCATTTAGCATTCTTCTTTCTTATCCCTCCCTTTTCCCCCCTACACTTCCAAAAATCTGAAAAAACTCCAAAAAAAAGCGAAAAACTCCCGAAAAAACCCCAATTTCCACGTTGTGACTGTGCGTTGTTTGTGTCGAGAAGCCAACCGCGGTTCCTTCCCACAATCAAGTCTTCGTGATCCCAAATTTTCTCCCGAGTCACTCGTGCTGCCTACGATCGACTCTCCTTGTGAATTTCGCTTTGTGGAATCCTTGAAAGAGAAGTACTATTTCACATATCTTATTCACCCCTCTTCAAAGAGTATATACACCCCCTCCCCCTCAGGCGTCCCTCTTTGGGGGGATATGCGTCATCACTTCCCCTCCTATTGCTATCCAACACCCAGCTAACCCTCTTCAAATAGCTCAATCAGCGTAGCTTTCCACCCTGCCAAAATGTCTGCCGAAGTCGCTGCTACCCCGACCGCCGAGAACGTCAACGGCGCTCCTGACGCCAACGGCACCACCGTCGACACCAATGTTGCTCCTGAAAGTGCGACCTCTGATGCCGCCACTACCCCGAGCAACAACCAGCCCCATTCCGCCTCGCTGTACGTTGGCGAGCTCGACCCCTCTGTGACTGAGGCCATGCTGTTCGAACTCTTCTCGTCCATCGGCCAGGTTGCGTCTATCCGAGTCTGCCGCGATGCCGTCACCCGTCGCTCTCTCGGTTATGCCTACGTGAACTACAACAATACCGCCGACGGCGAGCGTGCTCTTGAGGATCTGAACTACACTCTTATCAAGGGCCGTCCTTGCCGTATCATGTGGTCTCAGCGTGACCCCGCTCTGCGCAAGACTGGCCAGGGCAACGTTTTCATCAAGAACCTTGACACTGCCATCGACAACAAGGCTCTGCACGACACCTTCGCCGCCTTTGGAAACATTCTCAGCTGCAAGGTCGCCCAGGACGAGTTCGGCAACTCCAAGGGTTACGGCTTTGTCCACTACGAGACTGCCGAAGCTGCCAACAACGCCATTAAGCACGTCAACGGCATGTTGCTTAATGACAAGAAGGTGTTCGTCGGTCACCATATCTCCAAGAAGGACCGCCAGAGCAAGTTCGAGGAGATGAAGGCCAACTTCACCAACATCTATGTGAAGAACATTGACCTCGAGGTTACCGACGAGGAGTTCCGCGACCTCTTCAACAAGTATGGTGAGATCACTTCGGCTACCATCAGCCGTGACCCCGAAAGCGGCAAGAGCCGTGGTTTTGGCTTTGTCAACTACATCAGCCACGAAAGTGCCCAGACTGCCGTTGAAGAGTTGAACGACAACGACTTCCACGGCCAGAAGCTCTACGTTGGTCGTGCGCAGAAGAAACACGAACGCGAGGAGGAGCTCCGCCGCCAATACGAAGCCGCTCGCCTTGAGAAAGCTTCCAAGTACCAGGGTGTCAACCTTTACGTGAAGAACCTCACTGATGACATTGACGACGAGAAGCTCCGTGAACTCTTCAGTGGCTTTGGTACTATTACCTCCGCAAAGGTCATGCGCGATACCGTTGCCGAGGGCTCTGAAGATTCCGACAAGGAAGACTCTGGCAAGGAAAATGCTGAGGAGAAGAAGGAAAGTGAAGAGCCAGCAGAGGAAGCCAAGGACAAGGAAGAAGACAAGGAGAAGAAGGATGAGAAGAAGGATGAGAAGAAGTCTGACAAGAAGCTCTTCGGAAAGAGCAAAGGCTTCGGCTTTGTTTGCTTCTCTAGCCCCGATGAGGCTTCCAAGGCTGTCACCGAGATGAACCAGCGCATGGTCAACGGCAAGCCTCTCTACGTTGCTCTGGCCCAGCGCAAGGATGTTCGCAAGAGCCAGGTAAGTTTATCTTTATAGGGTAATTGAACTCGCAACTGACTTTCTCACAGCTTGAGGCAAGCATCCAAGCTCGCAACAACATCCGCCAGCAACAGGCAGCCGCCGCTGCCGGAATGCCTCACCCTGTACGTATAATCAACCTGCTCCATTCTACTGAATTGTTATTAACTGTGTCAACTCTTATAGTACATGCAACCCGCTGTTTTCTACGGCCCTGGACAGCAAGGTTTCATCCCAGGCAACGCTGGTCAGCGCGGTTTGGCCTTTGCTCCTCAGCCCGGTATGGTAATGGCTGGTATCCCCGGTGGACGACCAGGCCAGTACCCTGGTGGTTTCCCACAGCAGGGTGGCCGTGGCATGGGCAACCCTAACCAGCAGATTCCTCAGAACTTTGGCCAGGGTATTCCGATTGGTGCCATGCAGGCTGGCCCTGGCGGTATCCCGAATGGTATGGCCTATCCTCAAATGGCACAAGTACAATTTGGCCGAGGTGGTGGTGGCCGTGGACAGGTCCCACAAGGCATTCCTCCCCCAGGTGCACGTGGTGGTCCAGGCTTTGGTCAAGGACGTGGCGGTGTGCCTCCTCAACAAGGCCACGCTCGCCCAGGACAAGGTGGCCGTGGACAGAACGCCGGTGCTGGAGCCCCTGCAGGTGCTGAGGGTGCTGCCGGTTCTGTTACTCTGCAGGCCCTGAGTGCTGCCCCTCCTGCCCAGCAGAAACAGATGCTTGGTGAGGCCTTGTACCCCAAGATCCAGGCCCAACAGCCTGAGCTTGCCGGCAAGATCACTGGTATGCTGTTGGAGATGGACAATGCCGAGCTTATTGGCCTGTAAGTTTTCTAAACAACCATTCTGCAATTCGGAAACTAATTTTATCACAGGGTTGACGACGACGCTGCACTCCGCAACAAGGTCCAAGAAGCTCTTGATGTTTATGACGAATATATGAAGAGCAAAGGCCCGGGTGCCGACGAATCCGGTGAAGCCGCAAAGCCCAAGGAGGGTGCCAAGGAGGGCGCAGAGGAGACCAAGTCGTAAACCGGCTAAGCCCATATCTGGTGGCTCGCGGTAGATTATCACGATGCGCCCGCTCTCCACCTTTGATTTGACGCCAATCTATTTTTAATGACGATTCCTCTTCTCTGACCGGTTTTTTTTTTTTTTTTTCTTCCCATTTATTTTTTTCCCGTATGACCTCATTTCTCTTCTTTTTTCTGATATCCCTGGTTTCGATAAAAGTTTTACTTTTTTTTTTTTTTCTGCAGATGGTCATCATACTGCCTGTGTTCGTGGTAATGATATCTTTGCCAGAATAGCTCCTTGCTTGCTGTATTCGAAGGAATGAGACAAAGCTGGAAAGGTGTGATTCAGATATGTGAAAGCGAATGAATTGGATTAAGTGTCTATGAATAGCCCTATTTCTGTCGGAGCAGCTCCATTTTCCAAAATTTCTCTATTGTCTGACCTTGTGGAATAACATGGAAAGCTTGGTATGAATATTTGGGTGCGTGTTCTTCTATAGGGTGGAGCTATTGTCTAGGTTTTAGTTCTCTAGGCCTTCGGATGCAATAGATTTATGATTGTTCTGATTTCTATAAGTATACATGTGTTCACCTCTGGACCGTGGATCCAGTTCGATTAGGTGGTGAATTTTACGACAAAACACTCGTTCAAATCGCCAAGGATATTCTGGAGACGGTCTTCTATAAGGTATTTCAGTCTCTATCCCCGAGTATCTTGCAATGGTACTTCAATCTGGACGACTCTGGGTCCTCAACAATGTTAGGGCTGAATATTGTGCCTCCTTTGTACCAGGACGTCTCCTTGGGCTGGTTAAGAATCATGTAATACGTATATATTTCTTGAGTAATTCAATTACATACTAAAACGCCGCAGTCAGGGAAGGTTAGTGAGGCCTTGTGGGGTGGCGTGCAGGCCTGCGCGCAACGAGTCAACGTGCCTAAGGGCCAGCAAGCTGTTTAGTGAGGTTATATACGGTAAAGTTGACTATTATTATTACGCGTAGTTGAAGGTGAGCTGTCTCGGAAACCGGAAAATCCGTAGGGCCGAGTGGGTGCTTAGTGAGAAACGCGACAAAACAGCATTTTAGTGATATAGGGATCAGTGAACTCGTCTGCGACGTAACCAACTCGCTATCTTGCGTTTTAATTGTTCGTTCTTTGACTTCTTGATAGCTAGCAGTGGCTATACAAAAAAAAACATTGTTTGAAAATGATTAAAAAAAAGAAACTGGTAACAACGCGATTCGAACGCGTGCCTCTTTCGAGATCGCAGTGAAGGTGAACCCCCATAAGGTTGAAAACTTGAATGCGACGCCTTGGACCAACTCGGCCATGTTACCTGTTTGTTGATAAACAACGGGAAATTGTGCTCTTTGAAGACTACAACTATTTGGCAATAGTAGTCGTGAATACATCAACGAGGGAACTAAATACAGTCGACCCTACCTAAAAGCAACCATATTTATAAGCAAACCTCCTTGCAAGCAAGCGAACACCGTGTTAAAATTGAAATTACATAAAAAGGTACTTGGAACCTGGCTATTAGCTTTCTCTAAAGATGACAAACCCACCCTACAACACGGCAACATTTATGATTTCTCACGGGAAAAGAAAGCCTTACATGCATAGTATTAATTGAAGTCTTATTCTGACTGCAAATAGCTTGACACTGTGGTTTATGTGATCATTGTCGCGGAACACGGTGCAGCGATTATATCTTATATGTAACATAGCGATAGTGCGGTCATTTATATATATATATATTAACCGCTGCACCATCACTCTCTAGCGTTGAGAACATATATATAGTTCAACTGATAGAGAACACATGTATTTATTGCGTCATGGAGTAAACTCGACTATTAAAAAGGACTGCGGATTTATTTCGGTATTAATTGACATCGATTGATGTCACTATATACATTCTATATAAATCAGATGTACCTTGTCACAAGCAACACCTCCCTATAAGCAAATCGACCCCCTGTTTTAATTACTTGCTCCTAGGTAGGGTTGACCGTATGAGAAAGGAAGTAAGAGAGCGAGGGGATGAGAGGCCCATACTTATACCGTTACGGCATGGAGATGAGGGATGTAAATAGAAAGACTGGTTCAAATTTTAACGAAGATGACAAGTGACCTTTACTAATAAAGGCCTGCGTACGGATATTACTGCAAAAATCGGGTAATTTCCCCCAGGATTCGGAGAATTTGCCAGTGTCTATACAGCCAGGCGGTAGAGTAGCAAGAAGTCCTGCGGCCGTACCCTAATAGGGCAGCCTCGGTGGTGCCGTGACATAGTCCTTTTGCCGGGGCTGCTTGGGGGCGGCATACTCGCTGTAAATAATTTATAAAAAGATTTATTTATTTATTTATTAATTTTTTTTTTTTTTTTTTAAAACATATATATAATAAAAACATTCATACTAACCCAGTTCCAACACCTGGTCCATGTATAGTCGCTGACAACTACATAGGTGTAAAAAGTGAGGGGTCGTTTCTACAGCTCTTTGACTTTCTATATAATTTGGATAGTAAGTTGAAATATTGCGCAAAGATTGTGTAACTGATTTTTAGATAGTATTCTAACTCCGTCAGACTGTTAGTTGCATGTGTTTGAATGACTTTAAGAGAGAAAGTCTGGTATGGTGCGCCTGTCTAGATTCGGCTTAGTGGGTTTAATAGGTGTCGTTGATTGACTAGTTACAAGCAAGTGGAGCTCTAATCGTCATTGCGCGGGTGAAAGATCTGCCGGACAGCCATATTATCATTTCTTTATTCATCATTCTTCAATGCTTCAAATGATCACTGCTTTGACACTTTGAACGTAGTAACTGAAACCAAACATGGCAAGCCCAGTCGCTCGAAAGGAAAGGCGAGTGTCTCGTATTACTATCGCGTGCAATCCCTGCCGGTCACGGAAACAGAAGGTAGTATGAACCTCACATATAGTCGAGACTTTACTGATATTTTTCTTGATGAATGACTCAAGTGTAGCGGAGAACGGTCAGCTCATTGAAATTCTTACAGTTTCTTTGGTTTCTAACATGTACAGACCAATTTGTGGACAATGTCTTGAATACCACCGCCAGTGCGCGTGGCCAGAGCAGTTGAAACGGTGTGTACCACCATATTAAAAATATTACTGCATAGCTGAGCAACAACAGTGGACCAGCCAAGGGTTATATCGAGGCCCTCGAAGCCCGTCTCTACGAGACAGAAAATCTTCTATTAAAGCTGCTCTCTCACCTCTCACAGTCCCAGTTATCATCCATGCTGTCTGAGAATGAGCCTGGAACAGGCAGCAGAGACCAGGCCCCACAAGATACTCATAGCTTTGGACCCCTTTCACGCCAACATGAAGTCGAATATTGGAAGGTTAACCCATTAACCAGCGTTGACAATATCCGAAGATGGGAGCAAGAATGCCTCGACATTCGAAACAAGCCAGAGACTGGCAACAATAATCAGAATGCTGACAATACTACGCCTACCACGAGGCGGCCCAGGCGGACCAGGTCTACAACAATATCAAAACATCATGGTCCCGTTGGGACTAATAAAGATCCTCCTCAAAATACTGGCCAAGACGACGATTTGTACAACAGATTTCAGGAAGAACAACAAACTAGCCACCATTCGCGACGATATTCAGAGGAAATAGGAGACTATTCTCAGGATACCACAGAAACGCCACCTCCTCAACCCATCACACCAGCGTTGCCGTTTGACGTACCGAACAATTTCGATCACACAAAAGAGTATACAACAAGCACAGCACGAACAACACCTCAGCTAAGCGCGTGGGAAGAGGCACCGACAATAAATTTTCAGAAGCAATTCCTCTGGTAGCCAGAACTAAATACCTGATATAAGAAATAAAATTGAGGGGGTGCTATGTGCTATTAATTCAATGTTATACACCACATAACGAAACATATGCTTATATGTCATTAACACCATTATGACCGTCGGTACTCGCTCCCTTGGACTTTGCCAGCTCAGCCAGCTTCTCGTCGTCATAGTACGCATCCAAGCGCGCTTTTTGGGCGGCCTTGTCGGCCTTGGCTTGAGCCAGTATTTCTTTGATGTTGGGATAGGAAGAAAACCTGTCCTTTGCGAGTGTTAGGGCTTTATACAAGAGAGAGAGAGAGAAAGAGAGAGAAGCTCACAGGCAACGCATCCCAGACTTTGGGTTCTGTTCCTCGTTTACGAAACGTGCCACATCCGCCACGCGCATATTCGGTGAAGAGGAAGCTGCGGCTGCTCTCAAGCATAAAAGTCATTTGATCTAACATCAATTCAATTGTTAGCACCTGATTTCTTTCTTCTTCTTCTTCCAAAAAAAAAAAAAAAAAAAAAAAA